ATATTTTTACAGTGAAAGACTGAAGGCATAGGTGGGCTACAAATAGCAAGATCATATAATATTTCTTGTTCAAACTGGGACACTTGAAAGTAAAAGGAGCATTCTTAATAATTATGCCAAGAACACAGGCACAAAGCAGGGCATATGGTAACCCTAGCTATCAACAGATAGTTACATAAGAAATGTGAGCCAGGGATTTGCCTGAGGCAGAAATTATAGCTAGGATCCTGGGTAAAGATCTCCAATGAATTCAAAAGTAGAAATTATTAAAGCAGAGGTTTGCTAACTGGGAGTGATTTTGGTCACAAGGGAACATTTGGCAATGTCTGATGACATTTTCAGTTATAAGTAGATGAAGAGGGGTGCTATTGGCATCCAGTGGGTCGACGGGTGGGGGAAGCTTTGGCAGCATCCTGTAATGCACAGGAATGCCCCGCACAACAAGCTATCTAACCAAAATCATTAAGAGTGCTGAGGTGAGAAATTATTAAAATTTCTGTATCTAATTTGTATTAAAATGAAAAGATCTGACTGCATAAACATATGAAACAACTGCACCATAAAAAAATTAATCAAAAGACAAAAACTGCAGAAAATGTTTGCACCTTATATGACAAAAGAGTTAATAATCCAATCTACATACAGAAAGAGCCCTTACACAAAGGCAAGCGTCCCAATAGCAAAACAGGTAGAACTCACTAGCAAACAATTAACAAAAGACAATGCAAATGGTCAATAAGCCCTAAAAAATAAACTAACTCCACCTCATAAAAATCAAAACAACTTAAATCAGAAGAACACTTCTGTTGTTACCTATAAATCCAGGCAAGGTTTTCTAATTTACAGTGTTAGTGATGAGCACGGCAACACGCTGCTGAAGGGAAGGATAAGTTGATTTCAAACAAAAACAAACAGAAGACTGTCTGGAAGGACATTTAGCTCTACTTGAAATAAGTATCTTTTTTCATTTTAACTTTTTATTTTGAAAACTACATATCTTTTGACGCAATCACCCAGTTTTAGGAATCTATGAAATGAGGACATATGCAAAGATTTAGCTAAAAGGATTTCTGCTCAGCAGTGTTTACATGGGCAAAAAATTAGAAATCCCTAAAATGTCAAATAAGGAGAAATTTCATTAAACAAATCAAGGTACATCCATCTACCACTCTTAAAATTATGTTACCAAATATTGACATAGAAAGAAGTTCATGACATGATTATATTAAAAAATCCAAACTATATATATCACTTCTGTGAGAAATTAATATATACATGTGCGTGAAGATGTGCCTGTGTGTGTATGAAAAAAGTCTATAATAATATAAACCAAAATATTAACAATGGACCTGCTTGGTGGTGAGATATAAGCACCATGAAGGCAGCGGTTTTTGTTTGTTCGCTGCTGTGATTCTAACACACAGAACAATGCCTGGCATAAGGGAAAAGTAAAATAAAAATTGTTGTTATTTTTGCTTATCTATATTTTCTCACTGATCTGCAATGAAAACATTATTTGAATAATACATTTTTTAAATGTTGCTTTTTAAAAAAATAATTCAATGGTAAAACAAAATGTTTTACAAATAGAAATGCAAGGAATGCCACCTACTTTACAGAGTTGTAAGTTTAAAGAACAATTTAAGTAAACATGCTCTGTAAACTCTACAGCACCGTAAGAATGTAAGAAATTAATTATTTTGTTAAGATTATACATTCTAAAGTTAAATCAGTTTCATATGTGCTTTGGCTGGTAGCTTTCCTCCCAGCAATTCCATTTCCAGTAATCTGTCTTTAAGAACAATTAGAGATGTGTGCAATGTTACGGATAGAAGCAAAAAGCTGTAACAACAGAGAATTGAGGACCATCCATAAAATAGAGTATCATGTCACCATCAAAATTTTTCCTGTAGAAACTTATTATGTATTTATTGACATAATCTCTCTTTAAAAATCATGCATATGTAACGTAAGTAAAATAATCTCAATTATAGCTTATTATAACACTGTCTTATGTCAAGTACTCAAAATAACTGTTATAATTTTCTGATAATTCTTATCTTTTTAAATTTTTTAATTTATTCCACTTGAATTCAGCTATTCAGTTTGTCACTTGTCTGTTAAGAGTTGACCAGTCAACGCCATCCATAACATTTTATCTTTCAGTTGCTAAATTAAAAACATTTTATGGATTGCTTTCATCCTCTGAAGGCATACCCACTTTAAAGGCACACGACAGTTTCCAGTGAAGCATGTGTATATATTATAAAACATGTATGTAATTTATTTTTACATTTTAATGTTAGTGGATTCTTATACATATCTCTTTATGCACTAGTCACTTCTTCATAAATCAGAAGCTGAATCTCATTTTCTCTCTTTAAAACAAATGTAAGAATTGCTTTCCAAAGCTTTATTTCTTTGACTTTCACAGAGATCACAGGAGTACAAAAAAGAAACACTCAAAACTAAATGAATAACAGCTCAAAGTATTAAAAAAATTAAAAATATAAATAAAATGTTATTTGAATCCTGTCATAAACATAGAAGGAATTTTTTTCTCCCAGAGAACTCTATTAGAAGCTGAAGACCTTTTATACAGAGCAACCACATATATGTATTCTTTAATTTGAACACCAGAACACTTTAAAAAAAGGCAGTAAACTCTTCCTTTTTGCTAAGGACTATTTCTTTACATATGTGCTACACAAAAACTCAGTTAAAAACCCTTGTTGCCCAGTGCTCTTTGTTCTGCTTACGCTATTTAAAAGCACTAATAAAAATGGCCTCACATTCCTTTATTTGAAATTTATGAGATTGCCTATCACCAGAACTAAAATATTTCCAATAGATTATCAGGAAAATGTAATAGGGGAAGCTGACTGATACCAATAAGAACACTAGAATTCTGTGCTGGGAATCACTGAGATTTTTTAAAGTATTGTGATCCCTCTGAATGAAATGAGAGTCTAAGATAAGCGGAAGGAAGCAATGGGAGGGATACAAGAAGATGAAGAAATTCATTTGCACAGCAAACACTGATGAGAAGCAGACATCACTCAGGACACTGGGGAGGCCGGTGGGAGCTGAGTGACATGTGGCAGAACATGACAAAGCATTCCAAAGGAAACACAGGAGTGCTGAGGGAGGAGATATGAACAGAAGAGGAGGAGATATGAACAGAAGAGGCAGACAGGTTTTCTCACCATAAATTTTTTTTTTTTCAGACAGAGTCTCACTCTGTTGCCTGGGCTAGAGTGCCATGGCCTCAGCCTAGCTCACAGCAACCTCAAACTCCTGGGCTCAAGCGATCCTCCTGCCTCAGCCTCCCGAGAAGCTGGGACTAGAGGCATGCGCCACCATGCCTGGCTAATTTTTTCTATATGTATTTTTAGTTGTCCAGCTAATTGCTTTCTATTTTTTTTTTTTAAGTAGAGACAAGGTCTCGCTCTTGCTTAGGCTGGTCTTGAACTCCTGAGCTCAAAGGATCCACCCGCCTTGGCCTCCCAGAGTGCTAGGATTACAGGTGTGAGCCACCATGTCTAGCCCTCATGATAAATGTTGAGCTACCTTTTTGTCCTTTGGTGGGGGTGGGGAAGGAGCCAACTCAAGGCAAGTCTTATTCTTTATGATGTTTTAGGGTTTCGGAACCATTTGATGCTTTTTAGGTTTTTGTGTTTCCCCCAGAATCTCCACACTTTTAAACATTTTCTTTGAATGTATATAATTTAAACCGAAGACATCTATTAGTATCAAGGATAAATGTAGCTCTTCAACTTAAAAAAAGAAGACTGAAAACTAGAATGTGCTCCTGGCTTTATCTCCTGACCTAGATGTATAACTAAATAAAGGTAATTATTTTTAAAAATTGAAAAATAGACCCCCAAAATAGCCAAATAAATCCATTTTACTTATATTGCTCTTTATTCAAATTTTTATTAAAAATAAGTTTATGGTGAAACCATGACTATTCTCTTTGTCAAGATATACGAGAGGGTAGCAAAAGGGAGGCACAGCGTGGAAGAGAGGACATTGTGCTTTATAGATGGGTATTCCACTGTTGGTAAAGTGGCAGGACTATGTGAAAACAATCACTATAAGATTGTTTTGACATTAAAAATAACAACAATAAAAACCTTGTTTGAAATAGATTGATTCTTTTCCAAATAGCTGATAGTATATTGTAAAACCATAATGATCTTAGGCATTATCAAATTAAATTACCATATTTTGCAGACCAGCAACTTATATATCCACAGCCAAGCTGTTTTCCTGCTGGTAACTTGAATTCCTATTTTAAAACTATGCCAACTCCTCTTGGGTGTTCTAGTGATGAAAACGTTTTTCCTTAAGTTTCAGCCAGTATGGTATCTTATGAAAAAGCCGCAATGTTAGGGCAGACCACAATGACTAGACAGAGGATACAAACTAACTTAGGAAATTATTTTGATGTTTAAAATAATAGGGGGAAAATGATACATTAAAAATAATATGCTAATTTTTTGGATATAATCTGATTCCATACCATGTTAACAGACTACTAAATTACTAATTTTTTTTTAAAGCTGGATATGCTTAAGATATATTCTGTTCTGTATAACGGTGGTTTAAAATGCAAAGAAATCAAACCGAGAAAGAATAGTGAATAATGATGAGCTCAGGGGAATGTATTTGAAATGGATAAACAAAGATGCCACTAAGAATAGAAAGTTATAACAGCTCTAAAACACTTTTTAACCCAAGGAATCCTGGTCACTTGAGGCATATACTCTACTGCTCTCACACCTGAACATAACTGAAAACCATTCATCTCAAAAAAAAAGAAACAAAAGGCAGATTTGTTATACATCCCACAGACATCTATAGGATACATAGTGTTACAAGTCCACAGTGCTTCTCCATTAATATATATGATTTTGGAAGTTTTCAAAAATATGACAATACCACCATCTAGGAAAAAGTGACAATACCATAATCTAGCTGAGAGGTGAGAGACTGACCTGATTGATGGAGTTGGCGGCACAGGATGCAAGGCCCGTCCCAACAGAGGCCAGCAGGAAACAGGGCCAGTCAAAAGGTCCTGGGGCCACTGCAAATCCAGCCGCAGTGGTACTTACTACCAGAGCTGCAATACAGAAACAGAGCAGAGGTATCATGACCAACAAGATTCCCAACTGTAAAAGCCAAAAAGACAAAGAATAAGCCATCTTTCAGATAAACCAACTGATTACATTAATAACATAAACTACAAGCTACATGTGTTCATTATAGAAAATGCTAATTTTCTTTTAACTTCATTATACTCAAGAGTAATGATAAGGTAGGTCTTTCAGATTTACTCATTCATTTATTCACTCAACAAACATGTACTGAATACCAAATTTGAGATCAGCATGCATTGTCAGGAATAAAGATGTGTAAGGTCTTGTTCCTTGCTCTTGGGTAATCTGACAGGGGGATGATAGACATAAGTCTATAACTGCAACACAAGGTAGCAAATAATAATGGCCCCAATTCTGTGACAAACTCCAGACAATCCTAGGGGAGGGCTTGCCTATAACAGATGATGGTCCTAGGGGCCAGAGGATGAGTGGAGGGAGGTGATAACCAGATAGCCTTGACAGCCTACAGATGGCATGTAAGTTAATCTTCAGGAGGGGATGCAGAGAAAGGAAGAGAATGGTGGGGTGAGCAGCATTACAGGTGGATGGATAATTCCAAGAACAGGCACAAAGGCAAAGAAGATCAATTGTAAACAGTCTGAAGTACGTGTGACACCATCTACCAGATTCTCAAACCAAAAACCTAGGAAACATTTTTGATTCTCTCTATATATCCCATTCACTGCAAAGTACTGTCTGTTCTACCTCTACAGTGTGCCTAAAACCCAGCACACTGCCACCGTCTAGTCCAGTGGTTGTCAACCAGAGTGGTTTTTGCCCTCCATCTGGAAATGTCTGGAGATATCTGTGGTTACAACTGCGAGGGAAGGGTGCTACTTGTCTTCTCGTGGGTAGAGGGAGGGGATGCTTCTTAGCTCCGCAGGTGCACAAGACAGCCTCTCACAATGAAGAATTTCCTGGCTTAAAATGTCAATAGTGCCAAGGTGAAGAGACCTGATCTAGTCCAAGCAATTACTATCAGAGCTTCTCCCATAACCACTTTGGGACCAGCATCGACTATAGTTAATAGCCACAGATGAACGCGCACAACCCAGCGTTGACAGCCACAGATGAATGCCCACAGCGACTTTAGCTGACAGCCGTGATATGACTTTTCTAATTTTTCATTTATCAAAATAAAATTGTGAACATTTAAAAATAACGTAATGAAAACACATATGTCTATGTTACCTATTCTGATTTACATTACATGGAAAGCTGCCCCTAAAGTAAAACAAGCGTTCAGTGCTTTAAAGCTTTCCTCATCACACAAGAGCAAAACGGACTCGTCGTCAATGCACAGCGCACACTATTGTGTGGACTGTGAGTGCCGGCTGTGGGCAAGGTTTTGCAGCCAGCGAGCGCGGTCCTGAAGTGGTTAATGGTCTCTTTGCTCCCATCTTGCTTCTATTTCCAGAGTGATGTTTTAAAAATGTAAATAAATCACATCACTTTGCTGCTTTGAAAATTATTTGCTACTACATCTGGAATAAAATGCAAACTCTTCCACCTGCTACACTGCACCTTCCACCTCTCTTCAGCTCAATCACTATTCTTCACTCATGAGAGCCTTCTGGTCTTTGAGCACAGTAAGTTCTTTCTGGCCCCAGGGTCCTTGTACCTCCATTTCCTATGCCTCTTTCCACAGCTGGCTCCTTCTCATCCTTCACAACCCATCTGAAATATTACTGCCTAGGGAGAACTTTCCTGATTGTCTCATCTAAAGGAGCCCTCTCCAGTTACTCCCCTGCGCACTCCATCTTTCTATTTCCTTCATGGCATTTATCATACTCCGGTTCCTCACTGGAAGTAAGCTCCATGAAGGCAGGGGTGCTGTCTGTGTGTTTCACTGCTAGATTATCAGGGCTACCACTAAGCCAGGCATAGAGAAGTGTTTCCCAGAAAAAGAAGAAGGCTGGTGGCTGCCAGATTGCAGAGCATCTAGCTAAGGAGTCTGTATTTCATTCAGTCGGCAGTAGAGAGTCGCTGACAGTCTAAAACAAGAAAGATCTATAACTAGATGTTTAGTCTGGTAGCAATGTGCACCATGACTTAGAATGGCAGAATTTTGCTGAGAAACATTTTAAGACAATATACTATTAATCTACTGTGAATAAGGATAGTAAAGTGAGAACTGAAGAGTTATAATGGATATTTTGATTAGAGAATTGAGGACCTGGTAACTAGGAGAGGCGGGAAGACAAAACAAAACAATAACAAAAGAGAACGAAAGGTGAAGTGCTGCACTTGGATGACATGGAGAGGAGTGACAACATTAACTGAAATGAGGAATCACGGGAAGAGGTGATCGAGCTAGCTGGCCTTAAGAAAATGTGTTGTTTTTGAGGAATCATGGGACATCTAGGTAGAAATACAGTGAAAATAGGTGACATCAGAGACTAAAGCTCAGAAGAGAGAATTGGAGGACATGAAAGAGGCACAAAGCCCTGGGAGCACCTGCCTGGAGACTGTGGCTGAACCTGAGGGGACAGATGAGATCATCAAGGGGAAGCATGTGCAGTGGAAAGAAGAGTATGAAAAAAATACTGGATCTTTACAGATGGAGAGAAAGGAAAGAATGAAAGACAGAAGATTTGGCGACAAGCACCATGAAAATGAGGTGGCATGGACGTCCAAAAACCAGGTGAGGGCCACAGGAAGCGGGACAGGAAGGTACCACCATTGACATCTGCAGTACATACCAGAGAAACTGATAGTTCCTCCTAATGATCATGAGTTGGCTGCCATGTCCTTCAATCTAGTATTACCAGTGACTTACTGAAATTCTTTAGAGTTCTACCATACAGACAAGCAAGGCCCTGCCATATGTAAGCAAGACACAGTTTTCTTGATATTCCTCTTATTTCTTTGGTTGGGTTCAATGGCAGTTGCAAGGTGACTTAGGAATATGTGCTGAGATCACCATCTAACTAGAAGTCTCCAGAGCACATGTACATTTTAGGCAAGAGGTCCTTCTTTAACTCAGTGGCTCCCAAATGTGGTATGCATCGGAATCTCTCAGGAGAAGATTTACCTCCAGAAAAGAGACTATATGAACAGATTAGAGTGAAGAGGAAGGTTCAGGAATGAAGATGCAGGTTTGCATAAAGGTTATAAGAAGACAAGCAGAAGATTAGTGGTTAAAGGCAAATAGGAGGCTGATGGGAAACCACAAAGACACACGGGACGCCTGCCTGAGGCAGGGAGTGTCGCTAAGCCAGAGAGCAGGTATGTACAGTCCCTCCCACATCTCCTCTGCTTGTCGGTACAGCCCGCCCTGGCCCAGGTATGGTACAACAAGTCATAACGCAAGTGTACAACTGGCGTCTAACAGCAGCAAACAACCACGTGGAACAGCGGGCAGCAGTCAAAAATATTTATTTCAGAGGAAACATTCCAGAGGAAAGTTTTAGCTAATTCAGTAATGACTTATGCCCATAAAAAATGCCACCATGATTCCAGGCTTTGAAAACAGCAGTTGCAGATACATTTTAGCCATGTGCCAAGGAGGGAAAGAATAGCCTCTCATGTAACAGTCTGTTTTACTTCATCTGCACATATTTAATGACCATTAAGAAAGGTACTGTTTTTAGAGCAAACAACAAAGCTCCCTTTAGAATATTCAAATATCACCCTTCTGTGAGGGAGCTTTTTATATTCTTCACAGATATCATATAAAAAGTTGCAAAGGCTCATGGACAGGTCATATTAAAGAATGAGAATCATCTTGTTTTGCACAACTCAACAGCAACTTCTCACTTACTGCAAAGTGACAAGGACTCAAAGAAAAGTCCTTAACACCTAGGCAACTTCTCAGTTGTACCAGAAGAATTCTACGATGCAGGAAGACAGCTTGATGGTATCAATGAGAGAATTTGAGGGAAAAGAGATTGTAGGGTTTTCTCTCTCAGAATGAAACTAAGTAAATTGCTCCTATCCATAGAGCAAATGAGTTAAAATAATTCTTAACTGTATGTTAAAGCCTTGACTCTTAAACCAAAAGTAGCCTACTCATAAACAACTGCAGTAGTTAAAAGAAAATCTACTATAACTTTCTCACTATATAATTAGTGAAGTCCAAAGTCACCAAAATAAAATAAATGGGTGCCCTCCGCACCCATGTGTTCTACATCCATGGATTCAACCAACCTTGGATAGAAAATATTTGAAAACAAACAAAAAGCATCCATACTGAACATGTACAGACCTTTTTCGGTTGCTGTTATTCCCTAAAAAATACAGCATAATAACTATTTGTACAGCATTTACATTGCATTCGGTATTATAAGTAATCTAGAGATGATTTAAAGCATACAGTGTATGGGTTATATGCAAATACTATGCCATTTTATAAAAGGACACGAGCAATTGCAGATTTTGGCATCTGACGGAGGTCCTGGAACCAATCCCCCATGGATACCGGGGGGGAAGACTGTACTTTAGATGTCTCTAAACATCGAGATCAACATTTTGTATTGTCCTTAATAAACAATTTTTAAAAAGTCAATCACCATTACAATGGGTAAGAAAGTGCCATAATCATTGAACTGTCAAAAATAAAAATGAAATGCACTTTATTTAAAATTAAAAAGGGTATGTAGTTACATGAAAGCAAAACTGTTAATCAGAGGAGGAAGTACCTTGTTATTCTTTTTACTCATTCCATAGCTTGATTGGGTGATAAACAACACAGAAAGCACATCAAATTTTTGATTAATGGGTTTACTGATAAATTGACAAAAGAGACAAAAACTGGTTTGCAAAAAACTGACAAAGGGAAAAGAACAATGTTTTAGTAAGACATAACAATGACTAAATTTACAAAATGGAAAATTAGCTTAATTTCAAAATGTCCAATTGGTAAATGGTAATACATATAAAAACATAGCAATTATAATTATTATTATAGGGAGAAAATTCGAATTTTTTAAGGTATTTCTATAAAAGACTAAAAGCTAACAAA